TCAATTTTAGAACTAATTTGATAAGAATAGGTATTAATTCTTCGTTAAAAGTTTGGTAGAATTCACCTGTGAAACCATCTGGTCCTGGATATGTGTTTGTTGGGAGTCTTTTGATTAGTAATTCAATTTCTTTACTACTAATTGTTTTTCAGGTTTTATTTTTCTTCCTGATTCTGTTCTGAAAGATCGTATATTTCTGGAAAGTTATCTTCTTCTTCTAGGTTATCCAGTTTGTTGGCATATAATTGTTCACCCTAAGTCTCTCATGATATTCTGTATTTGTCAGGTGTCTGTTGTAATTTATCCCTTTCATTTTTGTGAATGTATTTATTTGGGCCCTCACTCTTTTTTTCTTGATGATTCTAGCTAAAGATTTTCCAATTTTCTTTATTTTTCCAAAGAAGTAGCTCTTAGTTTCCTTGATCATCTCTGTGGTGTTTATAGTCTATGTTTCAATTATTTCCATTCTCATCTTCTTCATATATTACTTTTTCATATATTTCCTTCTAGTATATTTAATAGATATGTGTGTATGTACATATATAAATAGATAGATATCTTTTCCTAATTCCCTTAGATATAAAGATAGACTGTTTATTTTAGATTTTTTCTTATTTATTGAGATAGGCCTGTATCATTGTTAACTTTTCTCTTTAAACTGATTTAGATGTGTCTCAGAGATTTTGAGACATTATTATTTAATTTCCATTTTTCTCCAGGAATTTTTTATTTTCTCATTGATTTCTTCATCGAACCATTTTTTGGTTAGTAACATGTTGTTTAGCCTCCACATGTTTGAGTTTTAGCAAATTTTTTTCTTGTAAATGATTTCTCGATTCATACCTTGATGCTCAGAAAAGATGCATGATATGATTTCAGTCTTCTTTAATTTAATGAGACTTGTTCTGTGACCTGACATGAAATCTATTCTGCAAAATGTTCCAAGTGCACTTAAAAAGAATGTGCACTCTGCTGATTTGGGATGTAATGTTCTGTACATATGTATTAAGTTCATCTAGTCTAATGTGCCTCTCTTTCCTTATTGATTTTCTGTTTTGATAGTCTACCTACTGATTCAAGAGAGGTGTTAGTGTCTCCTACTATTACTTCATTACTGTCAATTTCTCCCCTGTGTCTCTTAATATTTGCTTTATTTGTTTAGGTACTCCTATGTTGACTGCATATATATTTACAATTGTTCTATCCTCCGGTTGGATTTTTCCCTTTATCATTATGTAATGCCCTTCTTCCTTTCTTGTTACAGTTTTGTTTAAAATCTATTTTGTCTGATATAGGTACTGCTACCCTACCTTTCTTTTTATTTCCATGTGAAATGGGATATTTTTTTCCATCTTTTCTCTGTTAGTCAGTATGTGTCTTTAGGTCTGAAATGAGTTTCTTGTAGAGGGCATATAGATGGGTTTTGTTTCTTATCCAGTCAGTCACTATTCAGTCCTTTGATTGAAGCATTTAGTTCATTTACATTTAAAGTAATTATTGATAGGTATGAACTTACTGCCATTTTGTTAATTGTTTCCTGGTTGTTTTGTACTTTTTTTCTGTTTTTTTTGTTTGTTTGTTTGTTTGTTTGCTTGTTTATTTTTTGGTTTGAGGGTGTGTTGTGTTTTGCTTTCTTCTCTTGTGTTTTGATGACTTTCTTTAGTGTTATGTTCTGACTCCTTTCTGTATTTTGTGTGTGTGACTATAGTAAGATTTTGGTTTGTGGTTCCAGTAAGTTTCATAGATATAACACATGTACATAACAGTCTATTTTAAGTTAATAGTTTCTTAGGTTCAAACACATTCTGTAAGCATTACATTTTTACTACCCTCCCCCAACATATTTTGTGCTTTTGACACAATGTATTACTTCTTTTTACATTGTGTGTCATTTAAACAATTATGTTTAGTTGATATTTCCACTTTGGTCTTTTAATCTTCATATTAGCTTTATAAGTGGTTGATCCATGACCTTTAATATATGCTTGGTTTTTGCCAGTGAGATTTCTTCTTTTATAACTTTCACACTTCTATTTATGACTTTTTCTTTTTCCTTAAAACGTTTTTTTAACATTCTTGTAAGTCCAGTTTAGATGTCATGAACTCTTTTAACTTTTGTTGGTCTGTGAAACCTTTTATTTCTCAAATCTGAATAATCTTGCCAGTGGAGAATTCTTGGTTTAGGCTTTTCCTTTTCAGCATTTTGAGTATACAATGCCAATTCTTTCCGACCTATAAAGTTTCTGCTGAAAATTCAGCTGACAGTTTTATGGGGCTTCTCCTGTATATAACTAGTTAATTTTCTCTTTCAGATTTTAAGATTCTCTGTATTTAATTTTTGCCATTTTAGTTAGTATGTGTCTTGTTGTGGACCACTTTGCATTCATCTTGTTTGGAGTTTTCTGTGCTTCTTAGACCCAGATATCTGTTTGCCTCCCCAAGTCAGTATAGTTTTCTGCTATTATTTATTCAAGTAAGTGCTTTTGCTTTTTCTATTTTCTTCTTCTGGGATTCTTGCAATGCAAATATTAGTAAACTTGATGTTGTCCAGAATTTTCTTATTCTCATTTTTAAAAATTCTTCTGCTTCTATGATTTCCACTACCCCATCTTCCAGATCACCGATCCCTTCTACATCACCTAATTTTCTGTTGATTCCTTCTAGTGTATTTTTAAGTTTTAGTTATCATACACTTCAGTTCTGATTGATTTTTTTTATATGTTCCATTTTTTTTTTTGAAATTTGACTGTGCTCATCCTTTCTTCTCCAGACCTTGGTGAGCATCTCTTTCACCATTACTTTGAACTTCTTATCAGGTAGATTGTTTACCTCCATTTCATTTTGATCTTTTTCTGAGATTTTGTCTTGTTCTTTAATTTGAAACATGTATTAAAGTAACTGAATTCATTATATAAACCTTCATACAAAAAAAATCTGTAAACTCAGATGGCATTAGTAGTGAATAATGACACTTAAAAATATAACATAATCATATTGTTGCAGCCACTATGGAAAACAATATGCAGTTCCTCAAAAAATTAAAGATAGAAATGCCATAACACCCAGAAATTCTTCTTCTGGTTATTTGTCCAAAAAAAATGAAAACCTTTATTCCAAAGATATAAGCACCTGTATGTTTATTGTGGCATCATTTACAATAGCCTAAATATGGAGGCAGTATAGATGTCTAAAATAGATGAATAGATAAAGAAAATGTTATATATATATAAAGATTATTATAGTATTATATTATATATAATATACTATATGTATTATATATGTAAAGATTATATATATTATACATATTATATATATGTAAAGATTATATGTGTATATATGTATACATATATGTATGTATATATGTAAAGATTATATATATACACA